ATATATATATACAAATTCTTTGTTATCTTTTCTTCTGACAAACTCCAGGACCATGTTTTCACTGTCTTGTTACTTGCATCGACATCCTAGATATTGGTCCTACCCACCAGTTTTAATGTCAAGTTCAAACAGGCGGTTCATCATCTCTGAATCTTTTGTCTCAGGAATGCAGCATATTCAGTATGAATGTCCTGCCCATACTTTTATTTCATTAACCACTGTAGACACAGCTAATCTGTCATCTCTTTTCAATCCGGATTGTTCTGATGTTTACAATCTAGACCGTTTTTTTTAGACCGGACTTCTGGATGCTGTCAATGCATTCAAGTTGGAGTTTGCTAGTTTGGATCTTCTAAAACATGCTTACTGAGTCTGTCACTATCAATGTCCTATTGTCTGCCTCTGTTTTCTACTTCTGTGTTCGCACTTAAAAGAGGAGTTGGCAAGTTGCACTGTGGTTTACAACTAAGCTGCGATATCTATGTCTTTCTGCCCAACACGTCCAATTTCAATAAGCCTTTCTTTAGTCGTCTTTTATGACAAACTTGTTTTTTAAAAGTTCTTTTATTAAAAAAGTCTGTGGTCTATTATTTTTCCCCTGAAATTAATACTGGCTCTACTCTGATCACCAACAACACTAATATTGACTCCTCTCTGATCAACAACACTAATATTGACTCCTCTCTGATCACCAACAACACTAATATTTACTCCTCTCTGATAAACAACACTAATATTGACTTCTCTCTGATTAACAACACTAATATTGACTCTTCTCTGATCAACAACACTAATATTGACTCCTCTCTGATTAACAACACTAATATTGACACCTCTCTGATCATCAACTCTAAATATTGACTCTGTTTTGAACAAAAAAGCATAAATTACCAATAATAATTCCATACGGTACAAATGGACACTTACTGGCACAGCACAAATTTTTTTTTTAAACAGAAAAAAAAACAACTATCTGAACTCTTAATGTACAATTTTAAGTTAATCTCTTGTAGGACAGCACACTTTCACTTCACAGTGAGTACAAAATTAGATGTTGAGATGACAGCTCTAGTGATTTTATGGAATTATATAAGGACAAACAGGAAACCACATATTCACAAATTCTTCCTGTTTAAAATTATTAACAATATTATTAATCTTTTTGTACAGCCAGTGAATAAAATTTGAAAAAAAAAAAAATTTTAAAATGGTGGTTATATACAAAATGCATAATGTGACCGTTATATACAAACAAACAAAAATATACATACTAAAATGTTTCTGTAAACAGAAAAGGAAAACAAATGTGGCGATCAAATCACGGAAAGGTGAATAAACAACATTTGAAGCTGATATTTCTTCACCACGCACTGTAACAAATAAATAAGTATTTAGATGAGCAAACAAGCTCAATAACTATACACAGAAGGAGATGGTGCTAACGGAAACAGAATACCTGTCCACATATTAGGAGACGTATCTTCATGCATAATGAGCTTCTTCTTCTTCTGCTCTAGATACCTCAGCAAAGTGTTGGGGGTTAGGGGGGGATATATCTACATGCATGCTCAGCTTCTTCTTTTTCTCACCTCTTGCCCCAGATACCTCAGCAAAGTGGGGGAGAAAGGGGGAGGGAGGGAGGATACGTAAGGACTTTTTTTTTAATGCAGCATTTACATGAGGTGATCTTCATTTCTCTGAGGCTGTTCTTAATTTTGCCGTTCTCCGAGTGTGGGTCCCAAGGCCCCCATTTGGAAGGGGGCGGAGTGGGATAGACCCACTGCCCCAGTCAACAACAAACACCAAAACAAAAAAAAGCACATGGTAAAAGGCAGTTAACTAGGGCCTCCGTGTGGGTTCCGGGACCCCATTGTGGGGAAAACAAGAATAGACTCACTGCCTCCCCAAAAGTATGTCGAAAGAGTCGACTAATTGGGGAGCTTCCTTTGAAGTCGGAGTGCATCTGCTGGAGAGGCAAGGAACCAACAGTCTGTATTCAAGAGAATGAGATCTGTAAAACTGATGCACACGCAACACTCAGGTTCTGGAGCAGGACTGTAGTTCAGTAGTGGACGAGCAACCAGAACTTTCCGCCAGAGTGTACAGCTGGTGAACGCCAAGAAGAAGAAGTTAACTAGGGGAGTTTTCTTCACAGTCAGCGTGCACCTGCCTGAGACATGGATTCTCCCTCTCTGAACACAAACAAGCCAGTTCTGTAAAACAGATGTGCACGCAAAAGGCAAGTTACAGAAGAAGACCAAGTGTCCAGAAGTAGAGGGGGCCCCACTCTGGCAAGGGTGGGGGACAGGATCCACAGCTCTCAACAAGCCTGCTGTAAAAGGTGACTAACATACAACAAATAAGATACTGCTGAAACAGAAATGGTAGCCAGTCACTGTCAGTTAATATTGCACAACCCATCAGTTTCATTCACAGAAATTTGAAGAAGAAAAAACAAAAAAGAAACACCCCCATAAACTTGGGAAAACAAACAACGCCATATAAACTTGGAAAAATAAACAATAGACATAGTTTAAACCGGAAAACAAATAAGTAAACGAAACACCATAAACTCGGAAAAAGAAATAAGAAATACCCCATAAATCTGGAAAACAAATAACACTGTAAACGTGGGAAAACAAATAAGAAACACCCCATAAATTTGGAAAACAAATAGGAAACACCCCATAAATCTGGAAAACAAATAACACTGTAAACTTGGGAAAACAAACAAGAACCACTGCATAAATAAATACAAAATTTGTTCCATCAGACCAAACTTGAAGAGATCTGCAATAGCGAATGGACTAAGACACCTGACTGCCACCCCTGTGGTTTTGAAGTTTGAATTCCTTTCAAACTGACCTGGTCGACCCAGCCTAAAGACATATGAGAATTACAGTTAAAACCATCTAAGAGTTAAAAACTGTACAAGAGTTACAGTAAAAACCATCTGGGAGTTACAGTAATAAATTATCTGAGAGTTGAAGTAGTAAAAAAATGTGTAGAAAAGTTTCCCAAATTTGTCTGGCCTACCACCTCTTTTTCTAATTAAAAGAGAAAATAGAATTACTCAGCGCATTTTTCTCCTTTAGAATATAATCATCATCACCACCAAGTGCCATATCGATAAGCACAGGCGGTAAAGATTCACTATCGCACACGATCAGAAGAATCATTTATCTGGTCAGTGGTCATGTGACCACGTCATCTAGGTGTTTATCTTTCCGCCTTATTTTTTTTTTTTTAAATGCCCCTGACTTCACCTTAGGTTCCTACCGCTCCCTAGTCCATTTCAACACCCTCAACCCAATATTGCTGAGGCATTTACCGCCCCCTGGACTGTCCCACAACCCTCCAGGGAGCAGTGGCACCCTCCAAAGAGCAGTGGCGCTCTCCAGGAGACAGCAGCGCCCTCCAGGCAGTTGTAGCGCCCTCCAGGGAAGCAGTAGCGCCCTCCATGGAGCAGTAGCGCCCTCCATGGAGCAGTAGCGCCCTCAAGATTTTTCTATTCTCAGTGTGCAAATAAATTATCATTACAACAAATTATAAGAGCACCATTTTCAAAGAGGCTAAACGCTGAATGTTACAATTACAGAAGCCAGATTTCTTTAACATCCTCTGATCAAAAGTGACAAATTAACACACACACAAAAAACATTACGGGATAATCAAGTCTAACCAATGAGACACTGCTGGTTTCTTAAGAATAAAAGAGGAGGACGATCTGGCTCAAATCTGTCATCCCAAGAAGACAAACTCTAGTTACTCCCAGTTGAAACACATTTCTTGACAATGCTGATACATTGGCACTTCTGCAGTGACTTACTCTGGGACAGCATAGTTGAATTTCACTGGTTTTATTTGCACCTGCACAGTAATTTGGAGACCACTTGTCTGCTTTTCCAAGCGCTTAATCCGCAGCAGAACTGAACTATGTCAACCTCAATACAAATAATCCACTGCAGTAAAAGCAGCAGTCAGAAACAATATCCAATGTCAGAAAACAACACAGAAAAATAAATATCAATAAACAAAGGTGATTTGGAACAGTCTTGTCAATTACTGACTTCAGAATAAACAACTAGCTCACTAGGCATCCCCACAGGCGCTCTGTCTCTCTCGGCAAATGTCTTCAGGTGAAGATGTTGACTTTTCCGGGTTCAAACTGGTAATTTACGCGCCGTTCTCTTCCTCCCACATGTCCTTTCTAGCCAGATCCATTCAAAATTCAGGCAACTTTACAGTGTCAGATAACACTGTATGAACAATTAAAGATAGTAATGTCACTGGAAATTATGTGAAAAATGATGTGATATGTGGAAAACGACATGATATGTATCCATATATTGACAATATCCAAAGTGATGCAACATCTGTGAATGTTGTACACATGGTGATTCCTTGTTGGCAGGAGACTGTAACATGTTTTGGAAGTCCTTGTTGAGGAACAATTGTTCAGCTTGTAGAATACCACAAACCAAATAAGCCAGAATGCATTTTGGGCTAAAATAACATGCCATCTTGGCTGTTCTATCTAACAAAGGAAACAATTTTGTTAACCCCCCCCCCCCCCCCCCCCCCCCCCTTCCCAATTTTAAAAAAAAAATTCTGTAACTGTTTAACAGTCAGATGACTGGTTATTTAAACATACTTCCTGAAATGTGCAGGCAAAACAAGGATTTACAAAGATCTTTCTAGCAGCCATCTTGTTAGAGAATCAACATCACTGCACTCAGAGCAAGTACATAAATGCTCATTCTCCCTCAGTAAATATCCAAGGGTGTGTATGCAAATTATCTGTGTCACACAGGCTGTGGACGCGTTAGTGCTTATCTCTCAGGTAATCCAGGAGTTAGGGATCAACTGTATGTTCACTTTAAGGCCTCACGTGTCGAGTATTTAATGCCTGTAAAGTGTAATCATTCATGTGTTACATCTGGTGCTTAAACTCAGTCCACATGAAATGGCAAAGATCTGCCAACCATTTGGCACCTCCGCTATGATACAGTCGATGTAGGCAACATTGGTTCTGTTTTAACCGAAGTAGGAAGCGATGGATCCGTTTTCATAACAATCGAACTACGCATGGAGGACATAACAAGCGGCTGTGTGAGCACTCGAATATCATTCTGGTAAGCAAATTGTTCTAAGGCTTCACATTTACTTCTTAGAGAATTCAGCTCCATTTTCACAATATCGTTTTCTCTTTGAAGTCTATTTACCTCAGCACGCAGAAGATCTTTCTCTGTTTCAAGTTCTTCTTTCTGTGAAATGCGCTTCTCTCTACAGTTAGCTGCGTACCCTCGGTTTTTCAAAGTACGCCTTCGTTGTTTGAGCTTGCTCACCTCATCCCGTGTTAAACCCTTCAACAGCCGATTCAGCTCCTTCACTGAAAGTGAGACAAGGTCATCGTCACTGATGGTCATGTGATTATGTTTCGAAGGTGGGCTGGCACTGGCCGCTCTTGCAGCAGCCGCAGCTGACAGCTCGTCAGACTTGACATGCGATAAAAAAATCTGCAAAAAAATTGAATACTGTTAATAAAATTACCAATCTACATACATGTTTCATACAAATATATTTGTAATACGTTTTGTTCCCCGTTGTGGTTCCAGGGCCACATAGGTTGGGGGGGGGGGGGAACAAGAACAGACCCACTGCCTCTCCAACAAGCATGTTGTAAGAGTTGACTATTGGGGGGGGGGGGGGGGAGATTCCTTCTAAGTCAGAGTGCATCTTCCTGAGAGGCAAGGAACTGTCTGCATACAAGGTCAGATCTGTAAAATGGATGTGCAAGCAAAGCTCTGATTCTAGAACAAGAGTAGGGTTCAGAGGTGGATGAGCAACCAGCACTTTCCCAGTTTACATTGGTGAAAGGGAAGAAGCAGAAGAAGAATTCATTTTATAAATAAAATAAATGAAATAAAATATTCTAACAGACACATTTTTTTAAAATACAAATTTACTGTCATATACACATAACTTACGTCATAAACTAAAAGTAAACGGGACTATTCTGAAGCAATACATTGTAGTATGTTCACTAAGTACTTAGGTGCTTTGACAGATGAATCAATTTATGGTTATTGGCAGAATAAAGAAGAGAGGCATTGGAGAGCATTGTAATGACTGGACAGATCAACAGAAGAAGAGGAAGAGGTATTCTAGCAGAGACAATGATTGATGGCTTGGCACAAATTGCATCAGTGGAACGAATACAAAATCAAAGACGGAGATCTGTTGAGAGACATGGTGCCTAAGCCGCTGGGGGAGGCATATGGTGACGTTCATTATTCATTTAAAGATCGTCTTCATTGCACATTGAACATGACCATAAGCGCTCTGATCTCCTTCTGAGTGTACAGTGATGATGTAGAGTAGATGATCCTTAAATAACACCAATAAAAGTAAAGCAATGAGAAATAATGTGAAAACAGACAAACCAGTTATTTTAAATTATGAAGCAATAGAAAGCTGAAGAATTTGTATACCTCATAAGTCATTACATCTATTTTTAAAAAAAAAATTGAATTTCATAGTAAAACAAGGAACATCAAGGCAGAAAAAAACAAGGCAGAAAAAAAGAACATCAAGAAAAACAAGGCAGAAAAGAGAACATCAAGGTAGAAAAAGAACATCAAGGTAGAAAAAAAACCTTTAGGGCAGAAAAAGGAACAACAAGGCAGAAAAGGGAAAAACAAGGCAGAAAAAGGAAAAAAGCAGAAAAAAAACGACAAGGCAGAAAAAGAAACATCAAGGCAGAAAAATGAACAACAAGGAACATCAAGGCAGAAAAAGGAACATCGAGACAGAAAAAAGGGAACAACAAGGAACATCAAGGCAGAAAAAGGGAACAACAAGGAACATCAAGGCAGAAAAAGAAACATCAAGGCAGAAAAAGAAACATTATGGCAGAAAAAGAAACATTATGGCAGAAAAAGGAACAACAAGGAACATCAAGGCAGAAAAAGGGAACATCAAGGCAGAAAAGGGGAACAACAAGGCAGAAAAGGGAACAACAGGGCAGAAAAGGGGACAACAGGGCAGAAAAAGGAACAGCCAGGCAGAAAAGGGAAAAACGAGGCCCAAAAAAGAACATCAAGGTAGAAAAAGGAATATCATAGTAGAAGAAAGTACATCACATTTTTAAAAAAAACAGAAAAAAAAAAAGAAACATAACAGTTACAACAATGTGTTTAAAAATCACAGTGGTAGAATGAACCAAAGTAAAACTTTAAATGAGAGTGAGGAAGACATTACTGAATGAGGGAAAAAGTCAGTTGTGTATCCTTTACAGGACATTGCAGAAACAACCCCAGCATTTCTTTTAAGCTGTTGTGGTTTTTCTAGGCAAATTTATGTCCAGTAGTTTGCCCCTGCTTACTGGACGGACGGTCAGCTTCTCGATACCACTGTCAAAAACAATGCAAGGCAGCTGGGATCGAACCCGGCACTATGAAGCGCGTTCGCAACACCTAAGCCACAGACGTCGAATGAAGAAAAGGTCCAAAAACTAAATACTCTACATGAGACAACTTGAAGGATAGTACCAGATGAAGACAACAGAATATCAAACTTGGGAGAAGAAGTCTGGAGGTGCCCTGGTTGTGATGACACATATTGAAGGCCCAAACAAACTACAGAATTCTAAATAATATAGTTTTAAAATTTAGTTACATATTTAAAACTCCAATGTTTTTAATTGTCTTTTTTAACATTTGCCAGTGAAAGTTAGAGAATCAGTAAAGACATAGAACAAAAAATACATGCATTCGAAAACAGATGCCCAAGAAAACATTAAATGGGATTAACTGAGGAAGGTGACAAAATAAATATCTGGATTTTTACCTAAATCCTTAAATGCACTAAAATGGGTGAAAATGAACTGAGGAAATACCATTAAACACACTACAATGGGTGAAAATGAACTGAGGAAACACCATTAAACACACTACAATGGGGGAAAATGAACTGAGGGAATACCATTAAATGCACTAAAATAGGGAAAAGTGAATCAAGGAAACACCATTAAACCTACTAAAATGGGGACAAATGAACTGTGGAAACACCATTAAACGTACTAAAATGGATGAAAATGAATCAAGGAAACACAATTAAATCTACTAAAATGGGGACAAATGAATTGAGGAAACACCAGTAAACGTACTAAAATAGGGGAAAATGAATCAAGGAAACACCATTAAATATACTAAAATGGGGACACAATAATTGAGGAAACAAGGAAATCCAAAGGAAATCCCGAGGCCAAAGGTGATGGACTGGATTCTATGAATGATATTAAAAATATTGATTATGACAGAATGGAATGGAGGACTAGACAACAAGGCCTATGTGGCAAATAAATGTGCAGATTGATGATGATGATGGTAGGGTGACCCTAATAAGAAGGTGCCGGGACCCACTGAAGCCAACTTTCAATGTGGAGTGCCAATTGATGATGATGAGATCAAGAGTATGACATTCAGGATGCTTTTTGTCTCTGCTACATAAATCAACTGTTCTTCACCTTTAGTTTTTGAACCTTCTCCTTGTTATTGGGGCTGTGTGGTCTCGAGGCAAGGTGTCCGCCTTGTCTCGAGGCAAGGTGTCCGCCTCAAGTGCTAGAGATTCTGGGTTCAATCCCTGGAAAGGGCTAGGATTTTTTCACGTGGACTTGGACTTCTAGTAATTCTCCCTGGTCTCTAGGCAGTGAGATCGGACGCCCGTGTGCATTGTTGCGCACATTAAAAAAAATCCCTTGACAGTTGGACATTGAAAAGAGTAGCCTAAAGGCACTGCCCGGGCAAAAATGTTGAGTTAAAAATCTACCCGGTGCTACAGAGCCTGTGCACTATGCTGAGCATCTTCCGACTTTGAGTTGAGTTAGAAGAAGAACGGAGCACTTAATGGGTTACTACCCGTGTGCCATGATGTTGATCCGTGGTTCAAACCTCCTTGTTACTTCTGTAAAGTAAAAGATTCTTTACCTCATCTTCAGGTATATCAAGCAAACAATGCGACACCCAGAAAACAGAAATCAGAGGTAAAACACCACCTGGACCAAACTGGTTAAAATATCTTCACAAAAATTGGTTCCCTACCAGGAGAGGCACGGTGTGGGGGCTGAAAACTAGCTAGGATGGATGTTTTCTCCAATGTCTAAGTGCTTCTGCTTGAGTGCAAAAAAAAAAAAACAACAACAATAGTCTGCACACAAATAAGCCTGATATGTAATGTGGAAAAAGTCATACTCAATTTCCTTAAATACTCTGAATTTATTTAGTTTCTTGCCCTGTCAATGGCCTCAACTCAAGAGTTCAGAACTGTACCTTCCATCGCAGAATGTTTTCTGGAGTTTAAGAGTGTATTCATTGTTTCAGTACATATTAGGATAGGGGCTTGAGTGTGATGAATTAAGGCAGCGGGAAAGTGCAGTCGCCACAAACTATGTCCACTTTTACCCCTCCCCTACAAACGGCCTTACTGGGGATTTGAACCTGGGTCCCCCAACTAAGAGTCCAATGTTCCAGATAGTAGGAGTTTAATTAAATGAGTAAACTAAAGATGTAGTGACACCTGTAGCCAACATGTTTACTTTGCATCTTCTGTCCACCAGAAGCGAACAGTGTCAGAGACCTAGGTCTTTTACTTAATATCTAGACACTGTGGCAGACGCCAGCAGTATTCTTCCATTATCCTGTTGTGCCATTATATATCTCACTGAGCTCGAGCTCTATTCAGGCGCTCTGCCTCTATTGCCCCATTCCGTTATAAACCCGCGCAAACAGTTCAATCAATACCATGATCCAAGCTAGCACCTTTGACTTCTCTTATCAACGTCCCTCTTAGGGTTTCTTTTGGCCATCCCGCCTAATTAATCATTTATTTTCCCATTACAATGTCTGCTTGGTTATTCTCTGCTGGTTTCTCCTCTCTTTAAATGTTTCTATGATCAGGACAAAACAGTTGCTATGGTTACATAACTATGTTGGGTTTTTTTTAGAATAACCGTTCCTGTCTCAAAAGTGTCTCCTTTGAACTTCTTTAAACCTAAATAACTATTAGTAACAGTGTTACTTTCGTACTCATACTGTAGCATATAAAGAGTGGAAGTAACAATTAACTGGTATTGAAAGAGTTATGAACCTAAGAACCGGTACAACCGTCTCCGATATGTTTACCTTCACACCAAAAGTGAACTAGTGCGCATGTGCGCGCTCAGCGCCAGACGCCGCAACTTCCGCTGCGCAGACACCCCCCTCCCCCACTCCCCTGACGTGGGAGGGGGGGGGGGGATGCGTAAAGCGCCACGTTCGCGGGAATCCGTTTGTGCAAGTCAGCTCAACGACAAGATGGCCTGGCCTGCGGTCCTGCTGCACTGGTCGTGCCAGCAACTATTTATAGCTGTGCTAAACAAAGACATGAGCAAGCAGATATTTTCAAACGAATGACGCCGGATCTTCACAAACAACCAACCAGTGGTCGCCAAGAACGTAGATATTAATTGTGCATTATAGTTTATGGCGTTGGTTACCAACTGTCGGTCTCACGTACAATCATTTATTTATACACAAATATACAGGTGGTAAACCCAGAAGTCGTAGAGAAACACACAAGTCGCCCAAGAAATTAAGATTCGGCGAGTTTTTTTTCCGACAGTTACAGACGTAATGACAGCAATAAGAATTTGTCTAAACTGTTGTTTGCCCTTTCTACCTCGCTAACCTTATTTATTGCAGAATCTATATATATTATTACGTCGGCGTCTGTGGGTTAGGCGTTGAGAATGCGCTCTGCAATGCCGGGTTCGATCCCAGCTGCGGGCCTTCTGCCTTGCGTTGGTTTCGACAGTGGCATCAAGAAACCGACCGTCCAGAAAGCAATGGCAACCTACTGGACGTAAATTTGCCTTAAAAAACCCCACAACAGCTAAAACAAAATGCTGGGACTGGTTCTGCAACGTCCTGTAAAGGATACGCAACTTTAACTATATTATTACACACAAACATAAGGTATAATTATCAAAGTTCTCAATGTCTTCTTCTGTTAAAAGGGCGGCTGGCATGATGTAATGTCGGTTGAAGCCAGACTGCGATATTTTCGCTTTTCGGCCCAACATATCCTTTTTCTTCTTCACGTTTACCAGCTGTAAACTGGCGGAAAGTTCTGGTTGTTAATCCACTTCTGGACTGCAGTCCTGTTCCTGAACCCGAGTGTTGCGTGTGCATCCGTTTTACAGATCTGACTAATGTGTATGCAGACTGCTGGTTCGTTGCCTCTCAGGCAGATGCCCTCCGACTTTGAAGGAAACTCCCAATTAGTCGACTCTTACCATGCTCTTGGGTAGGCAGTGGGTCTATTCTTGTTTCCCCTATAATAGGGCCCCGGAACCCACACGGGTACAACCCACCCAATTCCAGCAAACCCATGTCAGCGGCTTCCTCCAACAAACTTATTCAGAGGTAGTGAGTCTATTAGCACTTTTTAATGGGCTTCTGGACCCACACAGGGGTCGAGGGGGTCTCAAATTGACAACAATAATGCTCGCTTAGGGGATTTGATCATTTACACAGACGGTTCAGTGTCAAGAGGCAAAAGAAGTTCTTGGGGCTTCTTAGCAAAAGTTAATGGTCGACGTTTGGTGCAGGAGAGCCTAGCATATGATACCGCAACATCCAGCTTAAGAATGGAGGTGGAGGCGGTCACTGCAGCTTTCCGCTGGCTAGAGAACACGACACACACACACAGATCGTGGTTGTAACTGATTCAGAAAACATGCTGAGAAAGATCAGAACATGTAGGCTTCGTGCAAAGTGGCATGCTTCACTGCGGAGGACACGGGTGAGGTGTATTGTCTGGATTTTTTCACCGGGGGACGCCGGTGTGTTGGGGAATGAACAGACAGAGAGACTGGCTAGCTATGCACAACTTGGTGGAATACTGATACATGATAAGGCAGACGTAATTAGTGCCTTATGGGAGAGCGTGTACAGTTCGGAGGAGCAGATGGATCACCACAGTCTGGTGAGATTGATGCAGTGGGGAGTGATGAGAGGTTCTGGCAGATGCCCGAGGCTCAAAGGAAAGGCAAGACGGACGTTTAATCAGAATGCTAATGGCACCATCAGTATCGGAACTCTTCGCTGGCTGCTGAAGATGTGGACGGAGCGCTTATGGGAATGCCCCGAGTGCTGTGATGTCGGTTCTTGAATCAAACCAAATCAATTTGACAATAAACAAGATCTTGCTGCGGCAGCAAAAATCACGTCGTGCTTTACAATGCCAAAAACTAAAACATAACGGCGTGTCTGGGATTCTGCAGAATTGTTGCGTGCTAGCTCAGTCTCTCACGACATACGTCTTCTGTTCCCAAAGCCAGCGGCACATCTCCATAGTCCCCCGGGACTGACGGATGCCATTATTATTATCTGAAGCATTATCCTGTTTACGCCTTCTGTGTACATTGGAAGACGTTTCATGTTGTGACACTAGACCCTGAACAGCCGGGATGACTAGTTACCAGAACCTCCATAATATACTGTATATAAAACCTACAGTATTATCAGAAGTACCCACTTAAATACGGTCTGAGACGAAAAAAAAAAAGTTTTGAAAAGTACTTTTCCCACACTCACAGGAAATAAAAAGAGATTAGAAAAGTACTGGTTGAAACATCTTTAAAAGTTGAGGTAGGGTAGAGGAGTATTAATCTATACACAGAGAAGCATACAATTATAGATTTTATTAGAATTGTTTGATAGACACAGAAGCAGATGAAAAATTGATATTATAAACAAAGCGTTTAGATGAGTATTGTTTGACACCTATAGAAGAAGAGAGAACAAATAGTTTAGAAGAGCGCTGTTCATTATACACAGAAACAGATTAAAGAAATACAGATTGTAGAGAGTTATAAGTGCAACATTAGAAGTAGATGACATAACCTATTTCAGGCTGGGCCTACGTGGAAGCCAACGTAATATATGGGAGAAAACAATTCCGATTCAATGCGGTTTCAAGCTCATGACCTTCGGCCCAAGCCGAACATTTAGCCGCTTCAACATCGCGGCTCCGGAGATCGTTAAAGAAAAGGCAGCGGAAGTAACAAGAAGTGAACGGGATAATCTTAAAGAACAGCATTAACTACTGGAAAACAGTCATGAGGACTGAAGTCAACATTTCGTGCATAGGACTGCAGACAGGGCTTGATTAACCATTAAGCACGTGTTTAGGGTATCACAAAAGGAAGGGAGACCACATACATTTTCAACAGCTTTGGAGCTAAGCGTTTATTTTCTCAGTTGATGTATGGTTTAAAAAGAAAATCCTAGCTGACATATAGTTCAAAAAGAAAATCCCCTAGCTGACATATAGTTCAAAAATAAAATCCCCTAGCTGACATTTAGTTCAAAAAGAAAATCCCCTAGCTGACATATAGTTCAAAAAGAAAATCCCCTAGCTGACATTTAGTTCAAAAAGAAAATCCCCTAGCTGACATATAGTTCAAAAAGAAAATCCCCTAGCTGACATATAGTTCAAAAAGAAAACCCCCTAGCTGACATATAGTTTAAAAAGAAAACCCTCTAGCTGACATAAAATATAGTTCAAAAAGAAAATCCCCTAGCTGACATATAGTTCAAAAATAAAATTCCCTAGCTGACATATAGTTCAAAAAGAAAATCCCCTAGCTGACATATAGTTCAAAAAGAAAACCCCCTAGCTGACATATAGTTCAAAAAGAAAATTCCCTATCTGACGCATAGTTTCAACAGAAAACCCCATCAGAACCCTAATGCAACAAGGCAAACTGGATGTCTCATCTCTAGTGAGTAGAAGCACACGCGTTATATAAGATTAGTCTTGAGGATCTGATCAAAGACTTTCCAATTTAAAAAAAAAAAAGTAATAAGAAATATAAATAAAGCGGGAGTATAAAGTAAACATTATTTTCTATCTTCCGGTAATTTTGTTTAAATTTCGGCAAATATATTTATATTTTATGGTTTAAGTTGAGTTGAGTCAAGAACTGACATCACAGCCCTCGGGGCATTCTCATGCGTGCTCCGTCCTCCGTTAAGCAGCCAGCGCAGAGTTCCAGTACTAATGGTACCGGTCACAATCTGGTTATATGTCCGTCTTGCCTTTCATATGAGTGTAGTGAGCTGGCCAGACCCTCTGGTTACAACCAGGCGCCTCATTCTCTCCAGACCCTAATAGTCTTGTTTCTCTACTGATTCCGTTGCTTGTTCCCAAAGGAAATTGATCATCTGCCTTGTCGTGAATCAATTCACCACCCACTGGTTTATTATCGTTTATATTGTGAATTGTGTGTGTGTGTGTGGTCCATCAAGATGATGATGACCACTTTTTTTCATCAAGTATGAGTATGAAGATGACTGATGAGGCCGATGCGGGCCCAAAAAGTTCTTGGACAGTGAGGACAGGGAATGAGTTTTGTGCCAGGGATATTGTGAATTACATTCATATTGGAGCACGTCTTAACACGCCGACCTGCTGGATACTTTCCAGTATCCCATATGTGGGCCCCATACTAATCTGTGTATATCAAGTGACAATTTATATTCTATTCATGTGAGTGGTTGAGGTAGGGGCCCGCAGCACAATAGTTTTCCTAAGGGCCCATAATTCTGTTAAGACGGCTGGGGAAGGGAGGGGGCACCCAAATCTTATATAGAGGTCTTATTCCGGCCCTGAGTGCAGAATAAAGGTTAAAGTCGCGAGGATCTACTTAACTGTACCGAATTTTATCCCATATGACTCAGTCTTTCTCCGCAGAACGGCTAGCCGCCTGTCGAGAGAGCAACAGACATCACGAACTCCGTAGCTCCGGCGACGATCCCCAGGGACCTCCATAAAAATTGCGCACATGAAATGAAAGGCACAGCCGTGAAACGAACCAGCGACCTTCAGAGTGCGAGGCAAACGGGCTGACCACTTTGCCACGGAGACCGCAGATAAAACCAGGTTGAAAGGGGTATTTGCCATCTGATCTACCCTACCGCCATCCAGACTGAGACCGTATAATCTTAATAAACTTTCCTGAAGCAGCTGGGAGACAGAAAAAAAAC